CTTGGCTGTGTCAATGACCCGTGGCTTCGTGGCTGTCTGGGGAGCTAGCGCTTTCACACTTAAAGAGCATATTTCTATAAATAGTTATACATTTTGCTTGTTTTGAGACAGGGTCTCGCTCGGTTGCCTAGGCTGTAGTGCAGTGGTGTGATCACGGCAACCTCGATCTCCTGGGCTCAAGTGATCCTCCTGCTTCAGCCTCCCAAGTAGCTGAGACTACAGGCACCTGCTACGGTGCCAGCTAATTTTTTTTTTTTTTTTTTTTTGAGGAGGAGTCTCACTCCGTCACCAAGACTGGAATGCAGTGGCGCAGTCTCGGCTCACTGCAACCTCCAGACTCAAGGGATCCTCCCCACTCAGCCTCCCAAGTAGCACAGGCACTGAGACCACAGGCACTCAACCAGCACACCTGGCTAATTTAGTAATTCTTTTCTTTTTTTTTTTTTTTTTTTTTGAGACAGAGTCTCTCTGTTGCCCAGACTGAAGTGCAGTGGCGTGATCTTGGCTTATTGCAACCTCTGCCTCCCAGGTTCAAGCGATTCTTGTGCCTCAGCCTCCTGAGTAACTGGGACTACAGGTGCCTGCCATCATGCCCGGCTAATTTTTTATACTTTTAGTAGACATGAGGTTTCACCGTGTTAGCCAGGCTGGTCTCAAACTCCTGACCTCAGGTGATCCACCTGCCTCGGCCTTCCAAAGTGCTGGGATTACAGGCGTGAGCCACCGCTCCCGGCCTAATAATTTTTTCTATAAAGATGGGGTCGAGCCATTTGCCCAGGCTGGTCTCGAACTCCTGGGCTCAAGCTATCCTTTTGCGTCAGCCTCCCAAAGTGCTGGGATTACAGGTGTGAGCTACCGCACCTGGCTGCAAGTCTTTAATTTTGCCAAAATCAAACTCGACTCCTTTTCAAAAATCGTTATTATTTTATTTTTGAAATGGAGTTTTGCTCTTTTGCCTAGGCTGGAGTGAATGGGGCATGATTTTGGTTCACTGCAACTTCTGCCCCCTGGGTTGTTCAAGTGATTCTGCTGCCTCAGCCTCCCAAGTAGCTTGGATTACAGGCACGCACCACCATGCCTGGCTAATTTTTGTATTTTTAGTAGAGACGGGGTTTCACCATGTTGGCCAGGCTAGTCTCAAACTCCTGACCTCAGGTGATCCACCTGCCTCAGCCTTCCAAAGTGCTGGGATTGGAGGCGTGAGCTGCTGCACCCGGCATCCACTGCTTTTGAAGTTTTGGACAGAAAATTCTTCTTCCCCTTTGTCACATGGATATCCTGGCATCTTCTGTGAACTGGTTCGTTTTGTCTCTCATGACATCTAGTACCTCTGGGGCCGGTTCAGCGTTGTGGGGATAGTGGGGGTCCCTATTGTGTTTCCCCACACATTTTCCCAGCACCACTCTCACCACCTTCCCAGGTAAGGGGTGCCCCCGGCTGGGGCCGCGGCATCCCCACAGGTGTGAGGAACATCTTACCGCACGTGCTGTTGTGTCAGCCTCTTGGGAAATCAACTGTTTTGTTACTTTTTTTAAAAGAAGAGACAGCCCTTCCTGAATGGCATGGGAAGCCTCTCTTGGGTCCTGCGGGGCCTGACTGGGCATGGGCGGACAGGGCCAGCTGTGGGGGTGGACAGAACGGGAGCGAGTGCCACAAAGACATGCTTGTCTGGAGACAGATGGGCCTTGTTGGTGGAGATATTTGCTTGTGGCTACTGGCGGCCCCATTGGCAGCTCAGGCCACCCACCCTGAGGTCTGAGGTTCAAAGCCCCGCCCTCCCTCCTCGCCCAGTGTGGACTCTTCCCACACCCACAGCCAGACCCTTGGCAACCCGGGTCCCACTGGGGCCAGCACCAGCAGACCTTCCTTCTATCTGTGGACCTGCCTGATGGGGAGGTGGGTAGGGAGGCCGGGTAGGAGGTGAGTGGTTAAAGACATGTTGGAACTAAGAGAGATTGCATGTTAACCCCGGCCCCTGCCCCAAACTCGGGCCTCAAGCAGGTGACCTGGTCTGTCTATGGGTCATTCTTATCTACGCCTGCCTCACGGGGCTGCCGCTGGGGTCTCCGGAGGCCATGAACGGGCAGCACTCAAAACACCACAGACCCCCAACAGTGATGCCCTCAGGGCAGGAAGGAGGGTAATCGTCACCCCTGGGGCAGGTGGCCAGAGGGAACACAGAGAGCCAGCCCACCTGATGCCAGGTGACCCTGTACCCATCACCAGGCCAGTGGGGTCGGTGGTCCCATCTGCTCCTGAGGGGGGTCTCAGGAGGTGGCAGGAAGCCCCTTGGAAGAAACAGGGGTAATTTCCGGAAGCCCAGAGGTCTGAGCAGACAGCTGGGGCCAGGGTGCCTCGGACTCAGGGCTCCTGGGGTGGGAGCCTGCTTGGGGCCTAGGGTTGGGATCTGGGGGCTGGAGTCTGGGGGTCTGGCTTCCTGGGGCCTCCTCAGCTGTCCAGCAGGCAGAGTGGGGCATAGCAGGTCAGGGGGGCTCTAAATGGGGCTGGGGGATGTGGGCAGGGAGGGGACTGCAGAAGCAGGTGTAGATCTGGGACCCTCAGGAGCTGAGCAGCCTAGCCTGGAGGCTGCATATGAAGCCCAGACCATCCTGGTGAAGGCAGGGCCCTGTTGCTGGGGGTGGTCGGGGAGTGGGCAGCCTCCCTCACTTCCAAGGCCCGGCATCCCGGGGCCCACAGAAGCCCCTTTAGGAGCAGATGTAGCCCCGGTGCCTATCCCAGTCCCGAGGTGGGGGCTCGGCAGGCAGCAGGAGCTGAGGGTTGCAGGGAGGAGGGCCAGCGCCCCCATCCCTCCCCTTTTCCTCTTGGGTCTGTCTCTCTCTCCGCAGGCTCCATCTGACAGGGTCTGGGGGCCTCTTCTGGGGGCCTGGAGGAGCCGTGGTGGCCATCAAGCCCAGGTCGTGGCTCAGACGGCACTAGACACTCCCCGCTTTCCCAACCAGACACTGTGGTTACGACTTGGCCCAGTGTGGCCTGAGCTGTGAGTCAGGGCTTCTGTGGCCTGGTATCCAGGCCTGGCTGGGTGGTGGATCAGGCAAGGGACACACACCCCCCAGCCCAGCCCCACAGTCACCCCTGCCCAGGCCAAGGCCCCAGGACTGCATCCCCGGATACTCTGCATCAGGGTTGGGTGCACGGCTGCTATGGGGACACATGGGTTATGGGTTGCCTCCTGCCACCAATCCAGGGTGAGGGCACCCCTGGCGGCCACCCACAGCAGCACACGGAGCGGCCGGCAGAGGGCACCAAAGGCCCCTCCAAGGGTGTGGCTCAGGTGGACGCCAGATGGGCCATCAGGTGCCCCTCCCAGGCAGGGTGCTCAGTGTGGCCTGCTCCCCCTTCTCGGGAGCCTCCGTCAGCCTGGGCTAAGATCTCCAAATCCAGTTTCGGCCTTGCCCTCTGACTCATGCCCCTCCTGGGGCCTGCCGAACATCTGGCCGAGCTGGCTCTGTCCCCACCACTCCCACTAGGGTTGTGCCCAGTGAAAGCTGGGCTTGGGTGACAGGCTTTGGGCCTTTTGGTCACCGGGCCTGGGAGGGCCACAGGAAGAGAAGTGGGCAGGGTCCCCTCTGGGCTCAGGGGCTGAGCAGCCTGGCTGATGGCCCGCCCTCTGCCTGGCAGTGCTTAGAAAAGGTGCAGTTTTCAGGGACTCCAGGACCCACTCCCACTCCCAGGGAACTGAGACACACGGCTCCTGGGAGACTTAACTGGTTTAATTGTTTCGCCCTGGTGCCTGGGCCACCTCTTATCTCTTGGGTGAGACTCAAGTCCGGGCACCAAGACACAACAGCACCCCCACCACCACGCGGAGATCATTGGCCTGAAACCTGGCCAGAGAAAGCTCCACTCCTGGGCCTGTGAGGGTGGGCGCTGGGGGTGTCTGAAGCCTGCATGGTGTCCCCTGCATCCTCGGCCCTTGCAGGTGAAGCGTGTGTCATTCCCCCACTTCCCCCCAATGACAGCCACTGCCTCCTGCTGGAGCCCCTCCCAGGCCCCCCTCAGGGAGCAGAACCCTGCGTGTGTGCGG